CCGCCGGCCTCGCGCGGCCCCGGCCCCCAGACCCAGGCCCGGAAGGCGAGCGTCCATTTACCTGCTCCCCGCTCTGGCTGCCGCCGCTGCCGCCGCCGCGCCGCTCACCCACGCTGCCAGGTGAGCCACCCAGCACACGGCCCCTCACGCGCACAGCCGGGGTACGACCCCAAACCCTTTGGGGGGGGACCGCGACCCCAGCCACACAAGTTGGGCTAGCCCACGCACCACCCGGCTTCGAACACCTCTGCCCCCGGAAGTTGATTTCCTCCAAAGCCCGCCCAAAGCTGCGGCTGTCACTCAACGCCAACACGTGCGTCACGTGGCCCGAGCTGAGCCGGGGGGGGGTGGGGGGGCCCATCTTCAAAGCCACGCCTCCAATGGCTTGACTAGTCCACGGGGGTTGCCTTCTGAAAAGGGATGACGCAGGAGCTACCTCCTGTTAGTTATAAGTTGTCGTTCCTCGTGAGTGACAGGCCCAGTTTCGATGCCTAATGCATGCAAATAAAACCATCCCCAAAATGATACTCCCATCTGGGATTCTGTAGGATTGTTCCTGAGAAGAGCCACGCCTGATCTTTTCACCACTTCCAGGCAGAGTTCAGTAAAAACGAATTTAGCCAAATGCCTGACAGTAAGTACTCAAGAAACAGTTGACTGGACAACTCTTCCATTTCATCTTTGCGTATCTGAACTCTCAAGCGCGGGAATGCACCTAAGCCCAGAGCCTCTCCAGACCATAGGACATCAGTCAAAGACTGCTCAAGAATTATTTTTGTACTTGGCCCCAACTCCAGATCATAGCAATTTATACATGCCATCTCTGTTTCAGAGAGAGTTTATTTTCAGCTGCCAAGGCACCCACTTTTTGCCAAGCCTTCAGTCAAATAATGTCTCCTGAAGAAAAAGAAAAGAGAATGACTTAACTATCAGGGTTTTATTTGAAAGGAAGCATGATTATATAGATTTTTTTGTCCATTTCAAAGTGTCAGTAACTGTTAAAGAGATACAGTTAAATAGCTGGTCACCTGTTAAAGATTCTTCCATCTTTGACAGGGGAGGGATTTGAGGACCGTTCATTTAACGATTTTTTATTAAATGTATACTTGGCCTGCTGGCAATGAGAAAATGGACTGGATACATTCAAGATGTTTGCCTTCAAGGAGTTTACAGTCTAGTGAGAGTGAGAAAGACAGACAATCTGGGAACGTTGAGCATAAGTCTCTGGAATATTCCCACCATCATATAACAGGCATTCTTTAACATTTTGGATGTTATTTTTCTCATCTTTCCACTGAACAAAATTGGTTCAAGCCTTTAATCTCTGCTGTGTACTGAATGTGGAAAATGTCAGCAAGTAATCCTAACAATTCTCCAGTTAGTACAGGCTTATGTGGTTAGGGAGTAGCTCCAATACTGAGCACAAATGTCACTCTTCTACACCCACTTTTTCTGTCCGCCATTGTCGTGTGCACAATGAACAGGTTTCTATTATAGCAGATATGGTGCTTCCTTACCCAAATTTATTTACCTATCTACTACACCATGAAGACCGCTTTTCATTTGTATCTCTCTCAATCTACTCATTTGTCTTCGTATATGCAGCAATATCACAGTATTTAGTGATTAGAAGGTATTCAGTAAATTGTGCAACCATCACCACAGTCAACTTCAGAACATTTTTCTCACCTAGAAAGGATATCTCATACCCTTTGTCAGTCACTCCCCATCCATTAGACAAGCACTAACTCACTTTATGTCTTTAGATTTGCCTATTCTGGACATTTCACATGAATGCAATCATGCAATATGTAGTCTTTTCTGGCTGGCTTCCTTCACTTTGCATCATGTTTTCAAAGTTCATTTATCCATACATCAGTTGGTGGACATTTGAGTTGTTTCCACTTTTTGGCTATTAGGAATAATGCTTCTATGAACTTTCACAGGAAGCATTTATTTTGTCAAGATAACATTTTCATGGGTATATATACCTAGGAGTGGAATTGCTGTGTCATATGCTAATTCTATGTTTAACCTTTTGAGAAACTGCCAGACTGTTTTCCAAAGTGGCAGTACACTAGCAATGTGTGAAGGTCCTAATTTCTCCATAGTGCCTCTTATCTCCTTAGAACTTAAGTATATTAGAACTGATGGCTCTATTACTTGTCAGGGTATTTTTCATAAGCCATCTTGTATTATTATTTATCTTTGTTATGTATGTATCTGCAGGCTGCAGGCCCATTACCCTAACAGACTGTGACCTTCTGAGCCGAGAAACATGGTTCCTTGCCCTCAAGAGGATCAAGTTTGGAGAAAGATATCAACAATCAAACAGAGTAATAACAAGCACTGAAATCAAGTTTATTTTTAAAATATGGAGGAGGAGCACCTTATTCAACCTGCATTAAACAGGAAGTACTTCTCATAAAATGTAAAGCTCAAGATGAATCTTGAAGGATCAGTAGGAATTGGCCAAGCTAAGAAACAAAGTATGTTCCAGACAAAGGCATATGTACCTTGGTATGTATCTCCTTGCCTACGAACTGTGGAGGTAAGTATAGTGTGTAGGTAGGTATAGTGGAAGCAAAGGTGGTGATGTGTGGGAGTGTGGCAGGAGAAGTGGGAACTGTAGATAGGTCAAGATGGATGGAGATTAATGGATTATTTAAGCGAGGTTGGGGGGAATTACTTCAGCAGCAGTGCACGGGATGGATTATTAGATAGGGAACAGGTTTTTCTCTGGAAAAACAGAGAAGCCAGTGAGAAGACTGATAAAATAACTAGGATGAAGAATTATGGAAGCCTGAGTTGAGGTGGTAGGTAGCCATGAGATTGGCAAAAAGGATTTGAAAGCAAAAATATAGGCAAGAACTGACGATGTATTCCAGGTTTCCGATGCTATTCAAAGAGGTAGGGGATTCAGGAGGAAGGTGATACACTTGCTGATAAGAATAGTGAAACACCACAATTTACTACTATTGAAGTTGATATGCTGTTGCAGTCACCCACAGAAATGAGATGGATGCCCACCTAAAATTTGGTTCATATTTCAAGATTTCTGATACCATGCATGCACCAAGAGGGTGTAAGAAGGTTTATTAGTCACATAATGAGACTTTCTAGGAAGAGCAGTGCAGACTTCTCAAACAAGTCCAAAATGGCTGGGAGGGGGTGCAGGGAGGTTGGGAGAAAGACTGGCCCTTATGGTTTTTATGGTGGCTAGGGCCATGATACTGGGGTGAAAATTCCTACACAGGAGCCAGGGCTTGTGTGGCCTGAATTACCACTGGCACCAAAGAAGGGAGCACCCAGGCTTTCTTATCAGCCTGCCCAGATGTGGGGCAAGAGGGCATGATGAGGGCTTGAAAGTTGTCAACCGTTAAACATCAATTATGGAATCAAAGTCTTCATTACCTATGTTTAGGGTTAGGTTTCGTTTTGTTTTGTTTACTCCAGCAAGAAAATAATACAATTTTTATGTCTTTATGTGCTTTGAAAATGATTGTAGTGGACACTTGCCTTCTCAAAATTTGTTCCCCTCTTCCCATATTGTGCAGCACACACCTGAGCAGTTTGGGTCGAATTAACCTCACCCTTATCCCAAAGTTAATCCAATCAGGTTAATTCCGACCCATGATGTTCCCTTGGCCACAAATGGTTTGGGATTGAGCCCCAGTCTTAGAACTTTTGCCCCAAAATTGTGTGATGTGCCTCCCTTTCTCCCTCTTGATGTGAATGAGAAAGCATATGATCCTTGTTGCTGAAGGCAGTCATCTTTTGACCAAGAAAATGAAAGAGAAATGGAGCTGAAACCCTAATCAAATAAATAAAGATCTATACCATTGTATATAAGCAAAAGGATGTAAAGTACAAACTGTGAAATTTTTAAATAAGCATTTTTCTGGCCCCTTTCTCCACTGGTACTACATTGTTCCATTATGTGAGCCTTCAAATCAAATCAACATAGAGTTTGACTTTTTTTGCTACTGATCCTCAGTATTGAATACTGAGTAGTGTATTAAATGTTGGTTAAGTCGATTTGAATTTTAAATGTGCACATATGTGTTACTTACCTTACTTTATACTCTAATGGTTGTCAGTTGCCATAATCTAGAATTCGCACTTTAGATGTATTCAGCTCGCGTTTAATCAGAAAGTCTGCATTCCAAACATAGCAACAATAAATGCTTCTGGTATCATTATCTTCCATTAACACCTGAGGCTTTGCTAATCAATGGATCTTTTTTTTTTTTTAAAGATTTTATTTATTTATTTGACAGAGAGAGACACAGTGAGGGAACACAAGCAGTGGGAGTGAGAGAGGAAGAAGCAGGCTTCCTGCAGAGCACAGAGCCCGATGTGGGGCTCGATCCCAGGACCCTGGGTTCATGACCTGAGCCGAAGGCAGACGCTTAACGACTGAGCCACCCAGGCGCCCCTGCTAATCAATGGATCTTATAAATGGGTTTTCTAAGTGAAACTATGGGTTTTCTCTTAGTGTAATGACTCTCATTGAGGAACAGTGGTGTTCATGATATATAGATTGAATAAAATATTTCAGAGATAGTCCCTATCTTGCATGACCAAGGTTATAAAAAGTAAACTCTGTAGTCTGCACTTTTAGGAACAGCACCATTCTGACCTCAGACAAAGATGTCTAAACTCCTAATACTCTTCAGTATGCCAAAGATGGAACAGTTTAATTTCTGCTTAACTAAAGGGAGAATCATGTTCATTATGGAGGTGACTGCAGACATCATGTTAATTATGGAGATAAGGAATAAATTATTTGTGCCTTTTCCTCCCCACTGCAAGTTCATATTTAGAATATTCCTAACACAGATGCTATTAAACTGAGATCTCAGGATGGGCCATTAAATTAAATTCAGACTGGCAGAGTATGAAGGGCTACTAGGAAAGAGAAATTCCAAGATACAAAAGTTGGACTACACATGGTCTCTGGCCATTGTCACTTGCATATAGAAGTAACCATAAGGAAATAGTTCAAAAACCTAATATGAATGGGAAAATATATTGTTAAATAAACCTCAAGCCTGACTGATAATAACTTGTGACTATTTAATCTGAAGACAATCCTCAGACTTCTATATTCAGCCTAATAGGAAATGAGCTGCCAAAATAGTGTGACCTCTTAAAAAGAGCATCTTCCCCAATGACCAGCTCAGATGGGGCCATAAAGGACACTGAGAGCAAAACAGTACCTGTCCAGAGAACCCATACCCCTGCCATCAGGAGTCCTCACT